GACGCCCCTACCGCTTACTTTGACGCCATCGATGTAGCCGACGTCGCCGACGTCGCCGCCGCCGCCGCCGCCGCCGCCGCCGCCAGCGTTCACAACGCAACCGACGGCCCTATCAGTCGCGTTCCTCCTCCCCCTCCTCCCTCTCCTCCTCCTCCTCCTCCTCCCCTTTCCTGTCACGTCCCTTCTGACGCACCTGTCGACGTGGTGGTGGTGGTTGGGGGAGACCAGTCGGGGCAGCAGCTGCAGCGGTCGCAGCTCTCCCAGCCGCCGCGGTGGAGGTGGAGGAGGTGGTGGTGGAAGCGGTGGCGATGCTGGCGGTGGCGCCTGCAGATCACCCGCGGTGCCGGTGTGGAAACAACCCATCAAGGGAAGAGCACAGCTGAAGGACGTCAGCCCCATGTCTCCGCCACGCTAAGGGGAGGGAAAGCCGTGGGTTTGGCGAGCTTGGTGCGCGGGGGAGAGGAGGAGGAGGACGCGGAGGAGGAGGACGCGGAGGAGGAGGACGCGGAGGAGGAGGACGAGGAGGAGGAGGACGAGGAGGAGGACGAGGAGGAGGAGGACGAGGAGGAGGAGGACGAGGAGGACGAGGAGGAGGAGGACGAGGAGGAGGAGGACGAGGAGGAGGAGGAGGAGGAGGAGAAGACGACGGCAATTTCGGGCGCTGGGCTGCATGCTGGCCGTGCCCAAGGTGATCCGACGTACGAGTACGACAGGATTCCGCTTCTTGAGGAGGTCTTTGCGGCTTTTCCAGACGTCCCAGTGCAGGTCGGTCCGTTGGTGGTCTCTTACCGGACGGCCAATACCTGTGGCACCACATAATCGAAAACATTGTTGACAACGCGCGCCTTGCCTTGATTTGCCTTGCCTAATCACCACCTCGTGACCCGGCTGGACCGGCAGGTCCCCTGTACCCGCTCCTCCACCTCGACCTCCCCCTGTCAATGCGCCAAGTCCTCAACTTATCTTACCGGCCGTTCGACCAAGCCCAGGAAGGATCGATCCCTCCACCGCCCCCAAACCACAGTAACCCGCCTCCCAGTCTCTCCTTCCGCAATCGAATCGCCAGATCTCGCTACTCCGTGCATCGCGGGTTTTCCCCAACCCCCCTTCTTCCTAACCCGCGTTGTTGTTCTGCCCATCATCCACCCTCGAGCCATCCCCACCGTCCCTTCACTCGCACCTCGCCTTCTTCCATCTTCCCTCCTTTGCCCCGTGTCGCTGTCGTACACTCTCAGCCGTCCCAACCACCACCCTTATCCCCCTTCCTGATCGTCCCATCCCACCCAGGTGGATGTCAAGGTTGATGACCCTCGGCTGGTGGCGGCAGTAGCTGAGCTGGCGGCCCGCCAGCCAGGCCGTAGCACCAGGCTGCTGTGGGGATCCTTCAGGCAGTCTACAGCCGCACGCTGCCTGGAAGCTGCCCCCCAGGTGCCGCTGTTCGCTTCGATGCCACGAGCGCTGGTGATGCTGGTAGGTGGGGTGAACGTGAATGCGAGCTATATGTATGTTGTTACAGGGTGGTATAGCTTCACCAGCGGCCCCTTTCCCGGGCAGTCCCTGCTCTCCCCTGCTAGAGGGGCACCCTAATCCGTCACCCCATCCGACTTCAGAATGTATTCGTTGGGTTCGGCAACTCACCACCAGCATCCAACCAAATCTAGCGGATCAACGGCGCATCAACTTAGTTCCTGGTCAGCTCGCAAGTTGATTTGAGCTATATGTATGCATGCACGTATGCACGTATGTACGTATGTACCCGGATGCAACCCGAACCATCGACTGCGTGACGGGTGTCAGTAACTAGCGGGTTACGTGGATATGGGGATTGAGCCCGACCACCTAGCCAGCTTGCTAATAAGCTGCCGAAAGACGAGAAAGGAGGGACAAGAACTTGGGGGGCTTGTGCCGCTGCCGCGACCTCTGCTGCTGCTGCTGCTGCTGCTGCTGGCACCGCTCGGCCCTCCTTTCTCTCTCATGATGATTCCTCCACTCATTTCCCCGGGGGGGCCCCAAATATGCCATCCACGTTCCTGCTCCTGCGCTATACTAAACCCCACCTCGCACCGTACCGTACCGTACTGTACTGCGTGCTACTTAGCTCATTCCTGTCAACATTTTCTTCGCCGTTCCGCGCCGCCACAGCCAGCCCTGTCCATCCTGCGCTCATCCTGCGCTCCCACTCGCCCACCAGGCTGCCTACCGGCTGGGTCTCCTGCGCCACCTCCACATCTACGAATCCGCCATCATCATTCCCTGGAGGCTCCATCTGGCGGAGCTCAGACTACCTGGCCTGACAGGCAGCTGCTGCGGGGCCCATCGCCATCGCAGCGGCAACCCCACCTCCTCCACCTCCACCTCCTCCTCCTTGAGCTCTTCCACGGCCGCCGCCGGCGTCGCTCGTCATAAAAATGGTTGTCGTGACGGGGATGCCAAAGATGGCGGTCGGAAGGGAGGTGAAGCCTCGGAGAGCGACGTGGAGACGGGCCATGGTGGCTACACCGGGTGTAACGGCAGCAGAGGCGGCAACGGCGACGTGGAGGGTCCCAACGCCGGCGGCCGCAATGGAAGCAGCCAGCTTCTGACTCGATCTGTGCGGCTGACGTACTACTTTACGGATCCCGGCTGGTTTGCGGCGCTGAATCGCCGTGGCGTTGCCGTGGTGCTGTTTGGCTGCCTGAATGGTGAACGGCGGTTTGAAGCGTGCAGGTGGGTCTGATGGGAGGGGTTCCCTTTTCAGGGGTGTTGTTGTGAGGGAGGGACTCGGGGGCTCTGGGGCGGCTGCCGGTTATAGTGGCTGGTTCCGTTCCCTTTGAGCGGTGCCGCAGGTAGTACGACTTGTACTGCTTGTACGGCTTGTACTGCCTCTGCTACTGTTGCTATGATCTGTTACCGATGCAACAGCTGTCTGTTACAGCAGCTTTCGCTGCTGCTCCTTCTGCTTTATGTTCTTATCCTCTCCACCTAGTATGTAACCTCTCCACCAAAACGAGACCATGAAAACCGCCCTAAGGAGAGCTCACCTCACCGTCCTTGGCGCAAAACAAAGCAAGCACGGCTTTCTGGGCTCATCAGGTCCCATGTGTGTCGGTTTGCCTGTCTGTCTGCCGATCTGTCGGTCTGTCGGTCTGTCCGTCTGTCCGTCTGTCTGTCCCCTGTCCAGGCGCAGCGGCGCCAACGCCATCGCGACTGACACCCCTTCGCGACTGCTCGCCTACCTCCGGGGGCACGGCGGCGGCGGGCCCCTCGTGTCCCTGACGAGTGACAGTACGGCCGCGGCTCGAGTACGGCACTAACCCGCCTCATTTGGTGGGCTGTGGAACTACCGCTACAACTGTCTTCATGGGGCCCTATGCAACTGTCACGCAACACCCACGCGGACACGCACGCTGTGGCGCACTGCGGCACCTCGGTGTTTTGGGTGTTAGAGTTTTAGGTCGTTGATAGAGGTCATCGGATTCCTTTTGTACGTTAATTGGCCGGAAGGATAGTGGCTGGAGCAGTAGGAGGGAAGGGAGGAGACGATTGGCTTATTGTGTGACCTTTTATTTGTGTGTTTGTGCGTTTGTGTGTGCGTTTGTGTGTGTATGTGTGTGTATGTGTGTGTATGCGTGTGTGCGTGATTGATTAGGAATCAGATTGCTCACACACTTCAAATGACTGCGAAGGACGTAAGGGTCGCGTAGTGCTGGGCGGTTGCAGCGGTTGGGGGACCGTCTGCTGAGTTGCTGAATGCGATGCATAGCGGATACGAAGGGGGGGGGGGGAAAAGAGGGAAAACAGGAACTGCACGCACCTTTTTTGAGTCGAACGCGTGCTCGTGTTTGCGTGCGTGGGTGCGTGCATGCGTTTGCATGTTTGTTCGTCTACTTGCCTATTTGTCTGTATGTGTGCATATGTTTTCGTTTTCGTGCCACAGATTCAAGAGTCTGAAGATTGTACGGTGGCTTTGGCGTGTGTACCGCAGACGGCAATGTCAGGAGGCAGCCCAATGGCAAAGTACTCTTCCGTATATCAGACACTCGTTCACCAGCTGCTGCGTCCTTGCTGTAGTTCGAGGACTTCGGTCTCCTAATGCCGTACCACGTACGTCTTTGCTCTTCCGGAAAACAAGTTTGGTTAGTTGGGGCACACTGTATGGAAATATTGGTAGGATGCACGATGGCGCTTTGCAAGTGTCGTCGGATTGTGTACGGCGGGGGATCGCATGGCGGGCGGATTATTGTGACGGTTGTGCGCGAATGGGTTAGTTTGCAACTGGAAGGTGAGAAACCCGGCGGATTTGCTTGTACGGCGGTCGTCATGAAAACATGAAAAGCTGAGGCACGGCTGGGCTTTGCAGGAAGCTGCGTTTGACTGCACAAGTGCACGAGCGGCGTTGCAGTGGGTTTGATGGAGGTGATAACAACAGGGGATACGATTTTCACAAGGACGTGAGGAGGAGTGCGCGCCGGTGGCAGTAGGGCCGACGGTCGGCGGTACAGGATGAAGGGGAGTTTACAAGGGCGGCGTGGCAAAGCGACCATTGGAGGCATACCAGTTTAGAGCCCTTCCGGTCACCGTGGGAGGCCCACAGTTCTCCGGCACTGGGGCCCTTAGTGATACCCTGGTTACAGCTGTGTGGTAGGACGATTACAAAATCTCCATTCCTTCCTTATGATCGAGGGACTGGGATGGGGATTAGCGAAAGGTCTTTGGAAGAATGTTAGCGGAGATACTTAAGTTAACCCTGTTGCAGAGAGCATCAGGCCTGCCGTTCTTCAGGCCGTACGAAAGCCCCATGGGGCTAGTAAGAACCTCAAAATTCGGCTTTGATATTCTTCCTTTCTGAGTTCTGATGCACGCTATGTAGGGGCTGTCTTGATGAATCTATGGCGTCTGCGCTTGCCCTCCTCGCATATCGCTATTTGGCTTGGAACGCACCAGCGCGAAGCCCTTACCCAGGGCCGAGCGGCCAGCTGCCGAAGCAGACGCCACCAATTACATTTCCCATACTTGTCTACAGTCATCGTGGCGGAAATTTAGAGCGTAATGCTTCCGGTCAGCACTTCCTTGAAAACACGTTGCCAGCTTTCCGGAATTCCGCTGCCATAGGGGTTGACTTGCTGGAGCTAGATGTCCAACTTACGCGAGATGGGTTAGCAGCTGTCTTTCATGACCAAGACCTTGGCAGGCTTTGTGGAAAGGCATTTCAGGGAAAACGCATATCAGACTTCAACTATGCAGATCTGCCAAGGCTCAAAATTAGTAGTAAAACAGATACAGCGGTCTTAAATGATGCAGACTTCACCTGGATTCCACTGCTAGATGAGGTCTTCAGGGCGCACCCGGACAAGCCGGTTCAAATTGACCTGAAAGTCCCCTCGCAACAGCTGGTCCACGTCGTCAGCGACCTGGTCTCTCGGTATCAGCGTCAACGACTTGTGTTATGGGGCAGCTTTCTGCACAGCAACAGCAATGGCCTTTACACCGCGAACCCTGAAGTGCCGCTGTTCACGTCCTCATCCAGGGCGCTCTTGCTGCTCACTGCATACTGCGCTGGCCGCCTTCATGATATCCATATTTATGAAAGCGCGATTATCATGCCCTGGCGTATTCCACTCTCGCCCTGGTTTCAGCCGAGTCTTGTACTGCCCGGCTTTTTCCGGGACTTAAACGCCAGGTGCGGGACACAGCCGAACGAACATAGCCTCCACCTCTTCTGTACGCATGTTCCTGCGCTTGCTTCCGCCAACTCTCTACCTTGCTACTATCACACAACCTGTAAACAATCTCATGCGCTAAAAGATCAGAGCTCTAAAGTATCTCTCATTTCCGTGGGCCAACGAACGCTCCTCTAACCCGGCCCCCCTGTCGGGACCCCTCCTCCGTATGTGGTCCGACGCAAAGGGGCGTCTCCGTTATACTGTACGGAGGAATCAATGACGAGGCCGCGTTCCAGTACTGTACGATGGCAGGCGCCAACGCACTGTGCACCGACCACCCATCACGCCTGCTGCGGTGGCTGGCGGCTCGGAAAGACCACAGTGCAAGGGCCGGTGCCAACTCCAGGAAAGGCCCTGTTTAAGAACAACAACAATCCGTTGCCGTGCTTCGATTTAAATATAACGATCGCAGCGGCGATCATCCGAGATCTGATAGAAGCTGGAGTTGGTAGAAGCTGGGGTTGATGGCGATGGGGCAGGGCGGTCCACGGGATGCGGCGAAGGTGTGGTAAAAGAGGCGGCGGCAACGGCGGCTGTTTCGGAGGTCTGGTCTCTGTATCCGTTGAAAAAGGACAGGGAGGCAGGTTGAACAAAGAAGCGGGTGCATTGCTGCAAACTTGTCGATGTCGAGGCCATATCAGTAACATACGTAAAGGGGTATATCATATGTGCAGAGCAGTGCGCAGACAGGATCGACAGGATCCGGAGCATGCGCCGCGAGAGCGGGTCGGAGGAGAGAGGCTCTGTACACCGCAGGTTGGGATGGAATGGGGCCAGCAAACATTGAACAGGAGGGCAGAACAGGCAGAGTAGGCAGGAAGGCGTTTTGCCTTGGGTTGCCTTTCTTCAGGCAATTGCTGCACAATGAACTTGACTATTGACTGGCTCGTGGGCATCCTTCAATGTTCGGAGAAGTAGAAATGAAGTGTCACGCAATGTGCATGCAACCGATTACTCAGCCGTTTACCAGGTGCGGATGCATGTATGGATGCAAAGGGGGGGTCAATCTTCAGGACCACTGGAGGGTCGCCCGTGCGGAAAGCTGTTAGGTCCACTGCCGGGGGTTCTAACGGCTAGAAGGGAAACCCCCCGTTTGTGTGACAGCGGTTGTTTGCGTATGGACTCTGGGTGTGGAGGTTGGGTGAGGAGGAAAGGGGGTGTGGGGAAAAGACGAACCACGTGAACGAGTGAAGCTGGCTGCCAAGGAAAGAGTGTACAAGAAGCAGGACTGACCAGTAGGCGTTCTTGAAGGCGGCGACCTCGGGATGATGTGGGGTGTGTGTGGGGCTGGAGGGGGATAAGCTCAGACTGACAGACAATCAGACAGACAAACGTGAGTGTGTGTATGCGTTTACGTGCGCTCCTGAAACCCCCCTCAAGAGCACAAACCTCGAACGCCGCACCCTGACCTTCAAGTTTTCCAAAGCTATATAGTCGTCGTCAAGTAGTCATTTTCCATTCCAATCGTATGACTTCGCACAGAAGTCATGTTGCGGAGTGCAGCACCCTCGGCCCTGCAACGAAAGCCCCAACCTCGCCACGCAGATATCGCCCCCCCCTCCGCTTTATCTCCAGTAGAAGCGCGTCGAAAGACCATCCCCAAAACCATCCTCCGCTATGGGTAAGTTTCGTGGGTTCCGTGGTTCACAGCCCGGTAATGTTGTTTCGCAGTTCAGGGCGGCGACTCGTGCCCTGCCTCGCAATGTGCGCCATTAGATCGCAACAAGGAGGCCTTACCAGGGATAAGCGATCCAATGCCCTCTTCCATACACAGTACGACATCATGCCATCGTACGACACCTGCCTGATCCACCTGCTGTACTTCAAACAATCGCACGACACGCCGCACGATGAACTTGTCTTGTGTCCTAGATCCTCCGGGCATCACACCTCCATGCACACATCCCGCCTTCACCGCGACCGATAGCTTCCCCCCACCCACAGACACACGCCCCAAGCAGACCGCTCCCCCACGCCACCACGGCACCACCACAATATACCCGGTCTGCTCGCCAGGCCCTGCACTCTTGTATGTACATACACACATCACATCACACATACAAAAAAATTTCCTTCATCGCGGCTTAGATCACTAAAAACGCAAAAGCACACATTCATTCATAGCCGCCCTATACCTCGTACACGTACGCTGCGCACGTATGTATGTATATATGAAAGTATTGTAAAGTATTTTCGCCCGACGCTGATGGTGATGGCGATGGTGATGGCGGTCAGTGTGGCTCAACCGCCAACCGCCAACCCGGTAATCGCCTAAGCAGTCTGCGGCTGCCCCTCCCCCTGTTCCCCCGACCTCGCCCCTTCCGCTGCTGCCTCAGGCCCTGCATAGCTCTTCAGCCACCACACCACATTGATCCATTGCTCGAATTCCGTCTGGGGCTTATCCAGGCCGTGAGAGTCCTGAGCAGGAGGGGAAGGAGTGGCGGGAGGGGAAGGAGTGGGTATGGGGTGATCGGAGGAGAGGAACGGGAGCTCGGGACCCCTCCCTCACACACGCATGAGGCTTAGAGGGTGGTTCATGACGCACCGACTCCAATACCGCGTAAGCGTGACATACATACGGCCGAACCTTACCTCTGGGAATACAATAAGCCGGGTTGGGGGCGGGGGGGCAGCCCCCGCAGCCCCCACGTCCCTCCCCCGCAGGGCGCTCAAGTACTGCAATCCGTCCAGGGGCGGAACACGACGGTCCCGGGCACCCAGCATCATAAACACGGGGGCAGTTACGGAGTCGACGTACGACACTGGTGAGGCGCCGTACATGGCCGCCAAGTCGGCTGGGGTGGCGACGGGGGCGGCGCGGCGGCAGCCCTCCTGCTCCCGGGGTGGGGGGTTTGGGAAGATGGGGGAAGGGGAAGGGGAAGATGGAGGTTAGGAAGAGGTATCAGTCCGTGTGGTTTTCAGACATTCGTTGGTGTATGTATGTACGTATGTATCGATGTGCCTGCGCGCGCGCGTGTGTATGTGAGAGCTTACTTATTACTGCGAGGAGTGTTTCGGCGGCTTTGTATTCCGGCGGCTTTGAGGCCGAGAGCTAAGCAGTTAGTGAAGGACCGGAAAGGGATGTGGGGACGCCGTACCCTACGAATCCTTCCCTCCTTCCTCCCGTCTCATCCAACTCCCCCCACCAGCTACCTCCCTTTTTTTGCCGTACCGTACCTTACCGTACCCTACCCTACCGTACAGTACCGTACCTCGCTTCCAAGGACCTCCACATAGCACCAGTCGGGTATGTCCGACGCGGCCACCATGGCCGATATGTTGGTGACGGGGTTGCGCATGACGCCGCAGCGGAAGGCCCCCGGGTGCTGACCGAGAAGGTGCGCTGTCAGGAAGCCGCCGTGGCTGCCGCCCACCACGGACACCCGGGAGGGATCAACCAGACCTGCGGGTTGGTTGGTTGGGGGGGACAAATTTGTGTGTATGCGTGTGTGCGTGCCTGAGTGTGTGGGGGGGTGTTGCGGATGCGGTTGGGCGTATGGAGGGTTTTAGGGTTTTAAGTTTTTCTTGTCATAAGGCGGGGCTGCTTCTGCAATTCCAGGGTCCAAGTCCGATTTCATATTCATATCAGTGGCTACTTCGGATACAGCCCTGTATGGATAATATTAGGGTTTCAGCTTTCCCGTAACTGAGCTACGTGAGGGATGGAAAAGTATGATATATTGTACCTTGCTGTACGGCAGTTTCCAACGCCGCCATGCAGTCGTCCACATCTTGTCGTCCAATACGGCCCGGGAGGCTGAGCAGGGCCGACTGGCCGTACCCCGTACTGCCCCGGTAATTGGGACACAGTACGGCATACCCCAGGCGGGTGAGCAGCGCGAAGGAGGGGTACCAGCCCAGGGTTACGGCGGTGTGGGGGCCACCGTGGGGGGAAAGTACGGCAGGTACGGGACCTGGGTCACGGGGAAGTCGGGGGTTTGTGGGGTTTTCGTGTCGGGGGAGGGTGGGGAGAGGCGGCCATCCGAGCAGACGGTCACCAGACTAAGCGATGTACGGCAGGGTTTTATAAAACCCTGCTAAGACCCCATTGACACGTTTTTTCCCCTAGAGCACAGCGGGTCAAGCCCCGGGGATGACGAGGGCGGGGCGAACCGAGTATAATTGGGATGCTTGGAATGGGTTGTACTGGGGGGATTGTTAGGGGGGGGGATGTGGCGAAGATATTGGCATTGGATAAAAGGAGGATCTTTCCAAACAAAACACACACGCACACGTGCGCGCACACGTGCAGACATACATTAAAAAAACATACATTCCAAAAACATACATTCCGTGTGAGGCAAACCAGGCAAACTAGGGCATCGACATGCATACATGCATGCATGCGTACAGACAAAAAAAACATACAACGCAAAGCAAGGGGGCAAAGTGTGATGCAAATCGCGCCCCTATATAGATATACCCTTATCGGCTCTTCACACACAGTCCGCTCGCGGGGAGAGGAGCCACACGGTTCCCACTTTTCCGTTTTCCCGTTCCCCCACGTTCAAGCCCCCACCTGTTCTGTCTTTGGGTAGCCAAATTAGGCAATCAAAAGCGGCCGAGGTATCAGCATCACCGACTCCAGGACCGGGGGGTGTAACGCGGAGTACCTGAGGCCCGAAAAAGGGGGGGAGGGCGGAGGAAGTGTACGGCATCTGACGGAAAGCTCCGACCTGTGGAGGAGCTTTCGACAAAATGAATACGTGTGAATAGCGAAAGCACGATCCAGACGCTGGATCCAAATACGCTGGATCTTCAAAAGCAAAAAAAACAGGATCCAAAGCCGATTCCTTTCAAAAACTTACGAGACACAGACCGGATTCAAAGTGGCACGAAAGCCGGGACCGTTGATCCATTTTGCCGGGACCGCAGGCATTGTGGGCAAGTCGTACAGATGTACAGATGTACAAGCGTACACATACCCCATGCAACACCCGGCCCTGCGCACCCACCGGCCCGCCCACCTGGAAATCCAGATTATCCAACGTCTCCTGTACGACAGGTGGCAGATCCTCTCGCAGGCCGCCGCCAGCACTGCCGTATCCTGGGGGGGCTCCCAGCTCCAGAGGCTGCCAGACGAGGGAGCTGCCGCCGCCGCTGCCGTCAGCCGCGGTGAGAGAGGCAGGATCGGCCTGCAAACGTAAGCAAGTAAGTATGTAAATGAGTAAGTATGTATGTATGTGCGCGTGTAATCTCACATCTGAGTCGCGAGCGGTTAAACGATCTTCACATGCCGTACATTTCTTTTCCTCCCTGCCGTACATGTCGTACATTCCAGACACCCTTACCGGCAGTTTAGCCACGTAGAGCTCCGCAGGGGCATCCGGCGCGACGCGACTCGCCACCGCCACGCCGCCCGCCACGCCCATTAATGTCCAGTTGCCGTACAACGCGGTTCCTGGCGATACCGGCGTCAGCGGCACCGGCACCGCCATCGCCGCCGCTGCCCTCATGTCGTCGCTGCCGTTGGCACTGCCGTCAGCGCCTGGTGAGCCTTTTTCCGGTGCCTTGATGTTCATCGCCACGATGGCGTTGACCGCTCCCCATTGGGTGTTGACCAGCAGAGTTTCGGAGCCTTGGAGCGGGGGGGGAAGAGGGGGAAGGGGGGAGGTAGTTAGAATGGGATTATTGGGAGGGTAAAACACACACGCAGGCCCTTAGGGAGGGAAAGGACAGGCGAGGGACCCCACACGTAAACACGACACCACCGGACGCTCTGTACGACCACGTGAAAGCGAAAGGTCGTTAAAGTTCGGTTGAAGGGGGAGAGGAAATGGGCGCATCCTCTTTTGGCGGGAGGAGGAGAGGGAGGTGGGGGAGGTGAAGCACAGCGTCTCTATACAAGTACTAGGAGGAGAATGACCTGCACAAGTTCAGTGAGACGCGAGTTGTGTCAAGGGGCGTTTGGAAAAAACACAACTTTCGGAACCCTGCAAAACCCCTTGGCCCTTGACGTGGCTCAAGAAGGGGACGGGAGGCGAGGGGACAGAGGAGAAGGAGAGACCTCCAGGAAGCTAGGAACGAGCTCCTCCTTACCCAGGAATCCGTCATCGGGAATGGCTGCGGTGTAGAGCCCAGGGAAGGCGGAGTGACCCGCGGGTCGCTCCACCACATCCACCACCAACTCCGGATCCGCACTCGGGCCAGTCAGAGGGCCACCGGCCTGGGGGGGGGGGAAACAAGAGACGAGACGGGTTTTGAAAGGCGGGGCACCTGCACCGGCACGGGCTTTTGAAAGGCAACAGGCGGGTTTTAAAAATAGCGGGCGACAGGCGATTTCTAAAACAGTTATGGATATTATTATAACACGGCACGCGAGGAGCAAAGGGCAGGTTTACTGTGAAGCCGCCGATGGAGAGAAGTTTCGTCGGCGGCGGGAGAAGGGCAACGAAGGGAACGGGGGGATGGGATGCATCTGGCAGCTGGGAAGGGGGTCGTGTAATCTAATCTACGAGGTGGAAAAGGAAGGGGGAAAGCATGGCGTGATTGCTGGGGTTTACACACATACACACACACACGCGCGCGACGGTACGAGACTCCGGGCCGTCTTGCGACCCGGGAACGAAAATATCATGATTGCGCATATTTCAAATGTATGCTATGTTTTGAACCATGTTTTGCCGCCCTTCCACCCACTAAGAAAATGAAGGTAGGCGACCAGCAGGCAAGCGGGTGAGTGGACACAGAGCAGGATCAGCAGTAGCCATTTCGCCTCGGATTGCCGTGCTAATGTACGGCTGCGGTCGTACTTGTGACGCACCTGAGGTGACCAATCCATGCGGTACAGACGTGCCGTACCGCCGTGGGTTCCTGACCAGATGGTTTGTGATTGGGGTGGGGATGGGGGGGAAAGGTGGGTTGGAAGTGCGTGGGCGGGCACCCGCGAGGAATGCGGGGCATGCAATGTGTGTGTATGTGTTTTAATGGCCTGAGTCACGCGATTGGCACACGGACAATTTTACCTTACAATTTTACGTGTTTGTGTGGGTGCGCGCGCGTGTGTGGGTGCATGTATGCGTGTTGGATGTGCGGGTGTCGGAGAGGACATTTGAGTTAATGGCAACGGTTGGTAGCTCTATCGCGTCTGGCCCCTCTGGCGATGATGCTGTGTTCGTGGGTAACAAAGGAAATGATTAAGGGAAGGGAGACTCTCAAGGCCACCACACCGAAATCCCGCAGCAGCAGCGAGAGGGGCAACGAGACGGGAAAAAGAGGTTCGAAGACACGGTTCGACATAACGGAGGCCGTTGTGACAGTTGGCCGTTTCCGCGGTAGTTATTCGGGCAGCAGTTTTATTCGGGCTGTTCGGCGGCTGCAAAAGAAGATTAGCTGAATTCGGTCAACTTGTCGCCAAAATCAACCAGCCAGTACACATAAATTGATAAATGATCTTTTAAAACACACATTCACAACAAAATACACAAACACACATACACACACACATACCCACTATTTCATCACCCCAATCACCATCACCACGACCACCACCGCAAACACCACCAGCACTAGGTTCACGAGCTCACCCGTCGTCACAGCCTCCGAATGCGACACGAAACACAGCACGTCACCCCCTGGACTGAACGCGGGGCTCAGGCAGCTCTCCAGGGAAGGAGCCAGACGCCGGGCCCAGGATCCAAACTGCAGTACACTGCCGTACACCCAGCAAAGAGACACATACGTACAGACAAACAGACATATAGACAACGTAGTCAAGATATGGAAAGCGCAGCCCAGGGAAAGGAGGGAATGACATGCAAGGAAACAAGGATGGGGGGACAAAGGGGGGGGGAAGAGGGGAAAAGACGAACTACGAGCGAGTGAAGGTGATGCTAAGGAAAGACTGATGCGCCAGAAGTGGAGGCATAACTAACCAATCGGCGGTGGGAGGGAAAGGGGGGGGAGAGATGCAGAGAGGTGGGGGCGAAGATACGCGGATGAGAAGAGGTTAGGGGTGGAGGCGGTGGGGAAGCCAAAGAAAAATTAGGCAAACGGAAAACAGAGGAAAACTCACCCATCAGCACCGCGCCGTACTGCCACATGGTACAAGTGCGCAGAGCGGTTGTAACAGAAAACTACCCCCAACTTCCGACAGTTAATGGACGCCGCGAGGCGCGGAAACGATGGCGGCGGCTTATGGGGCCAGGCCACCATCAGGAGACCGTTAGGACCGCCGCCGGTGGTGGTTGCGGTAGTTGTAATAGCGGTTGTATCGTCCAACGACTCTGATGCAATTCCGTTGGTCGTTGGCGCTGACGTGGCTGGCTGGGGTGGACACCAAATCGGTTGGCCAACCGAATGTTCGGCGGGCAAGCCAGGCACCTGCGTACGACGTACGGCACGCGTACGAAAGCACCACACCACATGTTGACCTCCGTTACATTCACTTAAGCACCTACCTACCTACCTACCAGCCTACATACACACATACGTACCTACATACACACCCTTCACACCTGAGAACATTCAGTCATGCCCAAGTCGGCGGGTTTCGATAACCCTCCTCCAGACTCCTTAAACCCCCTGACCCCCCCCTCCACACACACACACACACACAAAAACCCTCCCACACACCCCCACCCTCCCCACCCCATCCCACACACCCGCAGTCTCCCCACCCCATCCCACACACCCGCAGTCTCCTCCCCCTCACCTTGACCACCTCCCTCCTCTCCACGTCCAGCACGTACACCGCCGGGGGCCTCTTCCCCGTGTTGAGCTCCCCCCAGTCCTCCCCCGCCGCACCCACCCCCCGCCAGCTACGGGGGCCCGCGGCGTCCTTCAACGACTCAGGACCGCACCAGGCGGGGGTGCGCTCCAGGGCGGTCCTCTTGGGATCGGGTTCGGGGTTATGGCGGGGTTTGGGAGGGGGGGAATGGGGGGGGGGAAGGGAAAGGGACTGAAT